GAGTATTTTTAATTAGTTATTAACTCTAGAGGATTGGTGTATTGAACAGAATTTGAAAATATCTGCCACCGATAATGTGATTTGGGGAGCACTTCAGCAGCAAGATAAAAGTTGTTATGTAATTGTAACAGTAGTAATTCAGTCCACCAGCTAGCAGGAGAGGAATAGCATATATCCCTTTTATTGGAAGCATTCTTCATCTGCTGTAACCTTAATGTGAATGCTCTCACAAAAATGAAGTTAAGATGGAGTTACAGATGAAAATACTCACTTGTATTGCTGAGAGACTCATATTACAGACACACTGCAGTTATTCTCCAAAAGAGGTGATTCTCTGCAAAATGCAGAAATTTGTCAAGATATTTGAGCGTCTTAACAGTGTATTTTTACATCATATCTTTGAAGCGCTACATAGTTCCGCCATGTAGGAACATAGCTGAATCTAGATAAAAAACTGGCTTTAGAAACAGATTTTTTTTCCCAAAAAGAATGCTGTTTTTCTTTAGTCAGAGGAAGGTTGAATTTGTCTGCCATTAAGATTTCAGGATTTCAGAAGTCCTGAAAACATTTAGTGGAAATGTAAGTGATTTTAACAGCTTGGGAGCTACCTGAAATTATTTCTTTTTGTGAAACCCAGTGTAGAACAAACCTTATTTTGTCCCATGGATCTCGTGGGAAGGAGGTTTCAATTTATAGATCACACTATTATACTGCTTTCTCAGTCATTCCCAAGCATACTTAATTTACATTACTTGGATATGTACGCTGTAGTGGTGAGCTTTATGCTACAATTTAGTCTTTGTTTTAATTTGGTGAATGACTTTAGTGTACTGAGTGCTGGCAGAAGTGCCTCACACCTTGCTGTTTCCATAGGGATGATGGAATTTCCCATGATTGTTTGCATAGATACTAATAAATGACCGTCTTTCCTAAGTTTGCTTTTGTGGAATTGCTGTAGCTATAGTGAGGTATCAAGTAGAATATGGTTTTTGTTGGCTATTTAGGGCAGGTGCCACATCTGAACTTCAAAGCCTGTTTATGTCCACTTTGCAGCAAAGTCTGCTCCGTCCTGCACAGATGTAGTGCAATCCAATTCACAATAAAGACAAATCAAAATACTCCCAGGCAATCCGCTAGACTGATGCTAATGTACTGAGGTGCTGTCTTGGGTTGCAAATGCAAGATGGGGCTGGGGGTGTGTATTCTATTGCCATCTGTTAGAAGTGAGGCAGTTAGCTTCTGTTAATGGGCCATATTTTAAAACCAGGTAGGGCAATTTTCTGTATCTCTTCCACAAGCAATCCTCCCTCTGGGGAGATCTCTTCTGTTCATGGGGCATTGTGTGTCACTGCATGACTGATAAAATTCCATCATCCCACTGGGAGATGCTCCACCCATAGGGAGGAGCCAAGCATTCCTAATTGGATATAGTGTGAAATTTGGAACACCGCAGAAGCCTTTTCACACTGAATTCCCAGAAGAGCATCTTTCTTCTCCACTCCCAGAGGAAGACAAGGCCCATCTACACCACCCCTGGACCTTCAGAGGAAAACTCCACCCTTCTACAGGGTCACTGCTCCAACAGAACCACAGCTGGCACTGCATGAGGGCTACAGCCACCATTGAATGGGACTGCTACCACCACCCTGACACAAAGTGTCAGGTCATAGTCTGATTCTGTCAGTGTTGTCTTATATTACTTATATTACTATATATTATATTGCATGTTTTAATTTTTATTTTTCCTAATATAGAACTGTTATTCCTACTCCCATATTTTTGCCTGAGAGCCCCTTACTTTCAAGATTAAAATAATTCGGAGGCAGAGGGTTTACATTTTCCGTTTCAAGAGAGGCTCCTGCCTTCCTTAGCAGACACCTGTCTTTTCAAACCAAGACAGGTGCACCTTTGTGTCAGAACCAAACTCTGAATTTACTGCAGGCAGGTTTACAGGCAGAGCATCAGTACATCCCTGATGTACTTTTGGTCCTCTTTTGGCATCTCTTACCCAGGATGCTGACTTAGGTACCCACACAGCTATACCTGTGCATTTCACCATCACAGTCAGAGCTCAGGCAGCTTCTTATCTCTAAAGGAAATACTCTGAAAAATATTCACCTCTTCAGATAAATGATGCCCACCAGCATTTGTTACATCTCAAAGTGTTCTCTCTTAGGTTGATATATTTGAACGATCATCTTTTAAGGAGAATTCCTGCCTCCTGTAGCAAATACTCTAGTTTTGTAGTGTTTACAGTGCCTCTGTACCTCTGAAGTCTTGGTTTTCAGCTGTGAAAGAAAATGTCTGCTTTTCTAACTGGGGATTTGCAATTCTGTGCTCATCTGCCTAGGCACAGACATGTTCCCTTCTCTCATCCCTATTCTTGTATATTTGAGTCATACAAATAAAAATTTGTGTAACCACTTATCCCCATGATTTCTTACGGACCTGTAAATACTTTCAGCTAAGTCATCTTTTCTTTCAAGTTTCAGAGAAAATGGAATATTTACATTTGCCCTTTGCCTTCGTATGCCATGCTGGTTCAAGTGGACAACAGTGCAACATCAGGGGTGCAATTTTGCCTTCCCAAATTACTTCCTTCTTGGCTATCTCACCATATGGACAGCCTGATCTGTCACTCCAGACCGAGCTCTTTCTGCATGGCTGAGATCCAACTGATGTCAAAAGGAATCCTGAAGCCAGCTACTTTTAAGGTACTTTTTGATGTAGGAGTTTGTAGGCAGGTGGGGTCTGTCTCTTCTTCCAAGTAAGAAGAGAATGAACAAGAGGAATCGACCTCAAGAGGAGGTGTAAGTTGGGTATTACGAAAAAAATCCTTCACCAAAAAGATGATCAAGCACTGGCACAGGCTGCCCAGGGTAGAGGGGGGGGTCACCATTCCTGGAGATATTTAAAAAATGTGTAGATGGGGCACTTGAGGAAATAGGTGACTGGTGGTCTTGTGTGAGAGACTGGAAAGAGTGATGTCTCAAGACATTTTGGGATGTATATGTGGGGCGGCAGGGACAGGTAAGGCAGTGCCCTGCTGTGTACACCCCACCCTGGCAGTGGCTGCCAGTCTGTGGCACACTGGATGCAATGCCCCACACCCAACCCGTACAGCCTCTAACACAACTCCTAAGGGGCCAAATGACCAGAAGCCCACCTGGGGGAAGTGCCAAGGGGTATTTTAAGGTCACAGAGCATGAAGCACTCATATGTCTTGACCCTACCTCCTCTTGGAATTTCTATTGAAACACCACTGGAACCCAGGAGCTGGTAGCTATATATGTCTTTTTCTATACTTCTGTCTTTCTCTCTTTCTCCTAATTCCCTCATCTTCGAATTTTTCAGTAATTTAGAATTGAATGGACTTAAAGTTTGCTAAGTTGAATAGGCCGAGTTAATTCTTTGAGAAGTGTTTTGTATTGATTGAATGTTGCACTAAACTTTTGCCAAAGTCCCTCAATTTTGTGAAAATGCCAGTAAAGTTGTTTTTGTTGTTTTGATCTCTTGAGAATATCTGGTCAGCACTTCTCCTGTGTGTCTAACTCAGCATATATAAACAACCATAAACCCTTCTAAAAACCTCATCTGCGGAGTTGTTTGGGGCCTTACAGCTTGGCAACACTTGACTTCTGCTAGTGACACTTTGCCTAGATTTAAAATTCCAGTTTTGGCATCTTGGAGACATTGGCTGTAGCCTCTGGTCATCGTCCAGCCTTTGTTGAATGCAGAAGTCCCAAGAACAATGATTTTCCACATGCATGCTGTAGCCTATGTAATATTTTGTTCTGTAAATGCAAATTAAATATTAATAAAATAAATACAAATATGTAAATTTAAAAAAATCGTAAGAATCTCACACAGCTGTTCAGTGCCTGGTGCAGATCAACATAATCTGAAGGACCCCCAATGGGAACTGCTGGAGAAGTAAGGGCAGTGGGACCTTAGCTGTGGCCAGCCTGGGGGAAGGAGTTGGGGCTGGATGGAAGGCAGGGAAAGTTGTACAAACCAGGACAGGTTCCTTCCACTATGACAAAGGCCCCTGTATGTCTCCAGTCTTGGGCAATTCCCTGCAAACTAAAGTGTTTCATTTCAGGACTTGGGTATTTAAACAGTACCTTTGCCCAGGCATTTCTCACAAAAAGTTCAATTGATGTGTTTTGAGTTATGAAAGAATAAAAATTGAATTATTTTGTGCAATGCCTTCTGAAACTAGAAACTAAGGGGAAACGCTTTGCTTGTATACACTAAGGATGCAAATATACTTGTGCATGCAAAGGCAGATGCTGGCAGCAGATGAGCAGCAGGTAAGGCAGGGTTGTACCTCCAGGGGCACCAGCATTTGGGGAGCTGGGATCTGCATCTGAGGGAATCTACTGCAAAGTTAGAGGAAAGCTGAGAAAACTTGTTGAGACAAGGCGGTTTCTTCTGTGGTGAATTTCCTCTGAAAAATATGGTATTTGCATAGATGCTGCCCTAATCTCAGTCACCACATGCAAGCAGCAATTTCATTTGGGTTTTGAGACCTGCCTCAGTGTATTTAACACCTTCTGTACCTAAGCATTTGCTATTTCACCTTCAGAGAAAACATGACCAGATACCTAGCTGATTTTTTGAAATATGACAGAACTGAAAAAAATGCTGGGAATTGCTCTACCTCCACCTAGTCACTCGATGTTTGTAGAGTTTTGTTTCAACAGCTTTTTGTTTTAATGTCCTTGAAAAGGATGTGCACATACATACTTGGCAGAAAAATAAGTTAGTTGTCTTGCATGTCTTTCTGCTGTGTGAGAAAAGATATGAAGAAAAAGGATTGTGGTGAAATTTTCTGCTTCCCCCCTTTGCACTTAGTAATTTTTCTCTGACTTTTCTGCTAGAGAAGACTGTTGGAGATTGCTGCTTTCTACCTTTCTGTCAGACTTTTAATTAGCAGGAGCACAAAGCCCGTGCAGCTGGGTCTTTGATGCCTTGCTCACTATTTCTTCCCACTCAGAAGATTTCCATTCATTCCGAGTTGGCATCCAGCCCAAAGCCCTGGCTTCCCCTGAGACCCTCAGTGTGTCTACAGGACTCTATAGTTTAGTATTCACTGGAAGAGCTGCACTGATGCTCCCTTGCTAGAGCTACAGGCTGCTGGTTGGAGCCATAAGGGAACAGGAGGAAGAATTAGGCTGTGTGTTTATGTGGCTGTGCTCCAGTAAATATTTTGATGCATCTGCTGCCAGCTCTGGTCTAAGGGAATCTACCTAGCATTTAAATCTTGATGGGGAGCTGTTTTGAATAATAACAGTGCAGCTGGCTGTGACTCAGTGCATGTGTGTTGACTTAAAAAAAACCCTCAAAGCTTAATGCTTGCTGAATGCCGAGCTGCAGTGCTTTGCTTTTTCCCTCCTCCTTCCTTCTTTTCTTTCTTGTCTGGTCTTTCTCTGTTTTGTTTTGTTCTTGGGGGCATTTCTCATAGATTTTGTTCATTGTCAGTGGAGGGGTGGGGTAAGAGGAATAAAAAAAATATCCTAGCCAAAAGAAATCCTCCCCAAAAACTCAGGAGTAGCTTTTGTAATGGGTGCTGTCATGGGTACATTCTCTTCTCTACAAACGAAACAAAGAAGACCATCAAAAGGTAAGACCTCCTGTTATGCTTTTCCTGTCCCTTTGGTTTATTTGCTGTGGGAGACATTTGCATGGGGAAGGGAGGAGAAAATGAACATGTGCCACTTGCAAGTAACCTGGCAATGTTTTTGTGAGGGATAATTTGCAGAGGAGAGTGAGGATGCTAGGTGGTGGAGAAAACGTGGGCATGAGGAAATTGCTGTGGAGGGGCTTGGGGGTTGAAAAGAATCTGAAATACTGTAATCCTTAATGCAGGCATATATGAGGAGGAGAAACTCAGTGGCATCATATGGAGAGCATTTGCCGAAGAGACCTGTTTATTTCCAAATCCCATGCTGCTAAACACTTTGAAGAGGGAATAAAATGTACATATACGGCAAATTCTTTCCAATACCTTTGGGTTTCTGTCTCAGGAAGTACTGTTAGAGTTCATGTTGCATATTCAGTAATCCAACACCAAGCGTGCAATACTAATGATGTATGTTTTATAAAGATTAGCAAGAGGGGGAAAAAATTAGGATGTTTTTGTAAAAGAGAGAAGCAGGAGCTCATAAAAATGAGAAAATAAACAGCAGTTCCGGGGATTTTAATCCTTAAATCCATAAATATTGCCTATAAATGCTGATTTTTCAGGAGCTCTGGTTTGTATAGTATTTCCTCGAGCTTTGCTCTATTTTCTTCAGGGTTAATTTGAAGATTCCAGGGTATTGCTGAGCAGAAAGTTGAAAGCACTGTCAGGGGCACATCCATACCTTACAGAATGAGTGTGTTTTAGAAAACAAAAGGAAAAACCCTATAGCTTCAGCAATATTTGTGTTATTTAGAAATATCCCCTGCCCAAACCTCTGCATTTTAGAGTCACTTGGTATTTCTAGGGAGGTCTCTATTTCCACTGATCTGTTGCTCAGTTCATATATATGCTTTTGAGCTGCAAGTTGGTATGGATTTTCTTGAAATTTAAGTTGGGAACTGTCTTAGGAAATATCAAATACCAATTAATGATGCAAAAGAGAAGTGGACATGGGCTATGAGATTGGTTTGTGGCGAGTTTGTGGGCAAAAGTCTGTATTCCTGATACCTGTAGAGTAACATTTTAAGTTGGAGTGTGTGTACATAGTTTACAATTCACCCTTCTGTGTTACTGTAATGCCTCCATAATTGTGCAGTTGTTTTGGACATGTATGATATTACTTAAAATGCAAGAATAGCTGTGTAACTGTCTAAGCACTGAGTTACACCTGAAGCTGGGAAACTTGTGTTTAGGTACTGCAGTACACAAGAACTGAACAGGATGTGCTGGGCATGGTGGTTGTTGTGACACCAAGGGGTGTCTTGTCCACTTGCCAGGAACCTGGGACCTGATTTTCACTAAATGTAGATAATTTGTGGCTGAACATATCCATTCTCTGTGACTTTGTTATCTTGTGATTGGCTCTACACTCTAGTGGATGCAAGCCATTGCTTTTTGTTGGAGGTCACCTGCAGTAAAAATCCAGGATATGGTCACACATTTTAACCTTTACAATGGGATTCACTCTTGCTGATGCCTGCAGGCAGTGGTTGTTCAGCTATATTTATCAAAACCTCTGGTCCCAGAATTATGCCCCCTTGGCTCTGATGTGTTATCTGTGTGGTTTGCTGGTGTGTTTTACACTGACTGTTAGCACTTCACCTTGTGAGCAGTGAAACACTAATGCTGGGCTTGAATACAATCTGAAATTGTTCTTTGTCTGTCAGTTAAATAGTCAATCACCCCTACATGATGGACTTGACTCCTTGGTGCTGCCCACATGTTCCCTTGGCGTCTCCTCCTGCCCTCAGCCATCCTGGTGGCCTCTACCAGACCATGCTCTACCATATTCAAGTCTGTCTTGGTCTGGGGAATCCAAAACTGGCCCCAGCACTCTGGCTGTGCTTGCTGAAGTGTTGAGCAGAGAGAAAGGATCATTTGTCCCAGTGTTTGCTGTATGGCTATTGGTGCAGCTTGATGTGGGGGCTTCTCTGCCAGAGGGCAACTGGCTAGTGGTGCCTGGGTGCCACTGTTCCATTGGCTATTGCTAAGTTTATCTTTGATTGAGTAAAGTGTTTATTTTATTATTAGAGTATCATATTATTATTTATTAATTATTATATTTATCTATGTGTCTATCTGAATATTTCAGGACTTTATGTAGTAGTTAAATACTGCTGATAAAACCAGGGCCTGGAGAAATAGCTGCAACAGGGCTAGGTTCACACTTCTACAAATGCTCTCTCATGCTGGCAACTATGTGCTTCTCCAAGTAGAGCAGTTCACACCAGTGTCTGAAGCTCTGATTCTCTGGTGTGGTAAAGTAAAAGCAAAAAACAGTCACTGTTTCAAGAAAATAAACAGGTCATGTCTAAAGTGAGGCAGTTCCAGAGATCAGTAAATACCTGGAAGCCCATGGTGGGTCATGGCAGAGTGGGTGCAAATGGCCCATGCTGAACCCTTCCAGATTCGGCACATGACACAGCTCTGCCTGTGCTGCTCCCCCTCATGTCCTGCTTGTGGCTGGGACTGGGGTGTTGGCAGTGGGACTGGGGGCTGGTTTGGTTATTCCAGCTGTGAGCAGAAAGGCTGTAAAGGACATATTAGCACTGTTCAAGAATACAAGATTAAATTGCTTGTTCTAATGAAAATGGGGAGCCTGAATCAATAAAGGCAGGATTGACACAGAAATTGTCAAGTGGAGAGCAGTGGTCCATCAAGCATGAGACCTCCTCCCAAGTCTCTGGGAGAGGACAGCATTGTGCGTTTGTACAGGAGGACATAATTCTCTTGGCTCAAAGGTAAAAACTTAATCCAATGTAATTAGGTATTTTGTGTTGGTAGGTTGGGACCCACATGCCCTGTCCTGCAGGATAAAGATTTTTGCTTCTTAGCCTTGCAAGAAGTAAAACTGCGGAAGCTTTCCCTGTTCACTGAAGTGTTCCCAGATAGTCTGTGAGATTGTCCTGTTCGCTTTGGGAGTGGCTCAGAACAGATCCAGCAATTATTTGTAGATTTAATTAGGAATTGTTTCCTGTTGGGATTCTTGTCTGCATTTTCCAGCATTCTGAGTTGACCTACTAAAAGATAATAACCTCTTTCTAACATATTCACTTCAATTGTGTGTCAGATCAGCATTCCTGGGATGCTGGTGGAGCCTGGCTGAGGTCCTGGCAACAAGCTGACAGTGAGCCAACAGTAAAGGTGGCTAGTGGTCTGCTGGGCTGTGTTTGGCAGAGCTTCTCCAGTAGACTCAGGGAGGTGATAGTCCTCCACTGGTGAGACATTTACAGTGCTGTGTCTGGTGCTGGACTCCCCATGATGGAAGAGTGAGAACCGACTAAGCTGAGTCTACTGAGGGACCATGACGAATATGAAGCAATTGGAGCATTTGACATACAGGGGAGAGATTGAGAGAGCTGGGATTGTCCAGCCTGCAGCAGAAGAGACTCGGGGAGGTCTTAATCAGGGTCTATGAATACCTGAGAGAGGGGGGAGTAGAGGTGATGGAGACAGAGTCTTCTTCCTGGTGCCCAGGGTCTGGGGAAGGGGCAACACAGAAAAACAGAAATAAAAGAAATTCTGCTTAAGCATAAGGAAAAAAAGTTACTGTGAGGGTGACTGAACACTGGAAGAGACCCCACAGAAGGACTGTGGAGTCTCCAAGCTTGAAGGTACTCAAAACCTAAGTGAATACAGTCCTGAGCTGTAGTCAACCCTGCCTTATAGAGGGAACTGGAGGTCCCATTCCACCTTATCTACCCTCTGGTTCTGGGATTACTGTCACTTTAAAAACCCTAAAGATACAAAGACTTGATGTATTGGCATCAGGAAGTAAGATTCAAAGCTCATTATGAACCAAATGCCAATAAAGCTGACTGTTTGGTCCTCTCTTTAGTACATTGGTAGTTAGTGGTTAGACAGATGGTTGAGATGGACTTGACACTATCTAGGTGTTTGTATATTCTCCTGCAAACATAAGCAATAAATCAGTAAATGAGGGGAAAAAACCCAATCAAAATCACAGTAGTAAAAAGCAGAGGGCCAGCACAGCAGATAATGCACACACAAATGCATCTCTGATTTCAACTAGATGCAGAAATAGACATTTTTCTATGTTTTTACAGACTGCATCCAATCATGACCAAATTTGTGGCTAGAATCAGCCATTTCCATATTTGCCATGGAAACGTTTGAATTAACACATTGCTAAAGCAGGGGGATTTTCTAGTTTTGACTGCTTTCTGTACCCCTGAGTTCTTTTGTTTGTTCTCTAAATATGTACTCACACCTACCTCCCCCAGTGAAAGTGAAATATAACTTGAATATTTCTCAATACCTGAATCTTGTTTGGTTAGAGCTACAGGCTCTGACACTGACAGCAGCAGCATGCAGCACCATTTTCAGTTGGTAATCTGACTCTCTTAAATGTGAGCAACCATGTTTTGATCAAAGACCACCCAAACATAAACTAGCAAGAGGAGTCTGGTACAGTTGTTTAATTTTGCTAGAGCTAACATCATAAATTCACTTTGCTTTAACGTGTCAGTTGTATGATTTTTATAGTGAGTAATTTTTAGGCTTTATTTTGAAATGGCTTATTGACCAAAATTATCAGCTTTTGTGCCTGACCAGCTGTATTTTCAAGTGGTTTACTTACCAGGTAACCAACTCTGCTTGACTTCACAATCTTCATAAGAACATCAGACTGCCCTGAGCTCCTAAGGTTGTTGGGTCATGACAGTGCCCTTTCAGTTCCCCGTGTTAGAACAACCTGCTTCTCTGCTCAAAAGGTGAAAAGATGATTCAGTAGTGTTTCAAAGAGCAGGACATTTTCAGCTTTAGTCCAGCCATGGAATGGAGATGATAGATTTGAGCAGGGAAGCTCCTCATTATTTACTTTGCCCAGTACATTCTGTTGCAAAAGAAAAGCTTTGAAAGCTCCCCTTCTCTACTTTCTTTCTGCTCTTCAAAGAAACATGACAGCTTGCCACTATTGT